TCCTCTCATCTTTACATCTTTTCATCTTTACATCCTCTCATCTTCACATCCTCTCATCTTCACATCTGCTCATCTTCACATCCTCTCATCTTCACATCCTCTCATCTTCACATCTGCTCATCTTCACACCTTCCCATCTTCACATCTGCTCATCTTCAAACCTTCCCATCTTCACATCTTCTCATCTTCACATCTGCTCATCTTCACATCTGCTCATCTTCACATCTGCTCATCTTCACATCTTCTCATCTTCACATCTTCTCATCTTCACATCTGCTCATCTTCACATCTGCTCATCTTCACATCTTCTTATCTTCACATCTTCTCATCTTCACATCTGCTCATCTTCACATCTGCTCATCTTCACATCTTCTCATCTTCACATCTGCTCATCTTCACATCTGCTCATCTTCACATCTGCTCATCTTCACATCTTCCCATCTTCACATCTTCTCATCTTCACATCTGCTCATCTTCACATCTTCTCATCTTCACATCTGCTCATCTTCACATCTGCTCATCTTCACATCTGCTCATCTTCACATCTGCTCATCTTCACACATCTTCACATCCTCATCTTCACATCTTCTCATCTTCACATCTTCTTATCTTCACACCTGCTCACCTTCTCTCTCATGCCTTCTTTTTATCTTTCTCTCTTAAGGCCGAGGGTGGTGCCGGCGGCGAGTCACGAAACGTCAACCCTTTCGCACGAAATGAGGGTCGATCGGCAAAAACTGAGGTAAAATTGCGATTTTACTTGTGCCGGAGCAACCCTTTCGCACGAAATGATGGTCGATCGGCAAAAACTGAGGTAAAATTGCGATTTGACTTGTCCCGGAGCAACCCTTTCACACGAAATGAGGGTCGATCGGCAAAAACTGAGGTAAAATTGCGATTTTACTTGTGCCGGAGCAACCCTTTCGCACGAAATGAGGGTCGATCGGCAAAAACTGAGGTAAAATTGCGATTTTACTTGCCCCGGAGCAACCCTTTTGCACGAAATGAAGGTCGATCGGCAAAAACTGACGTAAAATTGCGATTTTACTTGTGCCGGAGCAACCTTTCGCACGAAATGAAGGTCGATCGGCAAAAACTGAGGTAAAATTGCGATTTTTCCTGTGCCGGAGCAACCCTTTCGTCTGTGTGTAAAAGCGTCTGTGTGTAAAAGCGTCTGTGTGTAAAAGCTTCTGTGTGTAAAAGTGTCTCTGTGTGTAAAAGTCTCTGTGTGTAAAAGCGTCTGTGTGTAAAAAGCGTCTGTGTGTAAAAAGCGTCTGTGTGTAAAAGCGTCTGTGTGTAAAAGCTTCTGTGTGTAAAAGCATCTCTGTGTGTAAAAGTCTCTGTGTGTAAAAGCGTCTGTGTGTAAAAAGCGTCTGTGTGTAAAAAGCGTCTGTGTGTAAAAGCGTCTGTGTGTAAATGTGTTTGTGTGTCAAAGCGTCTGTGTGTAAAAAGTGTCTGTGTGTAAAAAGCGTCCGTGTGTAAAAGTGTTTGTATGTAAAAGCTTCTGTGTGTAAAAGCTTCTGTATGTAAAAGCTTCTGTGTGTAAAAGCTTCTGTGGGTAAAAGTTTTGTGTGTAAAAGCGTCAGTGTAAAAGCGTCTGTGTGTAAAAGTGTTTGCGATGCAAACTATTGTCTTGCACTTCTCACTATTTTGTCTTGATACTCCTCTTCTCGACTGCCTATAACACAGCTTTCATATACCGTTTCTAAAATTGCGTCTCCATACTAACAAGAGAAGACCCTGCTCCTCTACGCTCTCGGGCCATCCGTCGTCTAGTTTGTCAGACAAACACACTATCGCAGGACATCCTGAATTTGGTCTACATCTGCCAGCAGCTTCCTGGCTCCGAACTTTTCCTGGTCGCTGTTGCTGGTGGTCTCGGGAATATGATAATCAATTTCGGTACATGTGTAAGTATTGTAAGTTATGTATACATGATCATAAAATTGATTATGTACCTGTATGTGTACGGTATACAGTATACATACATACATACAGACAGACAGACATACATACATATATATATATAAATATGTATATATATATAATATGATTATTAATTATATATATACATACAATGATTATAATTATAACGGTCACTGTCTGATTTTCTTGAAACGAATCACCTTCAATGATGATGTCAGCCCGGGTTGTGACTTCCGCAGGTTTGGCCTAGAGGAGTGCGCTGCATATTGGCAGCAGGTGGTGGACATGAACGACTATCAGAAGATAGCCTTCACTAGTAGCAGGGCAGCGACGACTAGCAACGGGAAAAACATATTTTTGGTGCCCAAAGTATAGTTATGGGGAACCAATAATTAAACCCCATGATTGGTAATCCTTTAAAAGACATGATCGTTTTAGTAATCCATCCATTTGTATGGGTATTGAGATATCTTGAGCCATTTCCTTGAGCCATTTCCATGTAGGGACGGAGGATCATGTAGAGGAGTGCAGCTCTAGTCAGTGTTTAGAATATAAATGAGTTAATATAATGCAGTCATTTTTTTTTTGAAACCCTCCTTTTTGGACCAGTGGAGTTTTTCTCCTCTTTTCAGAGTCGACAGATTCCATAACTCTGGATTAAATTAATGAATTGGAATCAGATGAGAATTCCCTAGCATGTGGATACCATTCAATATGTAGCTTGCAATCATATTATAAATGCAGATTCACACTCCATTCGAGTTCCTATTTGAAGAAACCTCATGTCTGGTTTCCAACCTCTGCCTACATCATCCAACCCACCTTAGTTATTCATTCCAGGCAAGATCATCCAGTCTCTCTTCAACACAGTGACCAAGAAGAAAATCGCCGTTCTTGGCTTCGCCTTTAAAAAGGACACAGGTGATGTGCGCGAGACACCGGCCTTGATGGTCTGTGATATGCTGATGAAGGATGGCGCTATTGTACATGTCTATGACCCCAAGGTGCTCATAGAAGATGCCTTGACAGAGTTCAAGTATCATGACCTGGAAGTCAATACGAAACTTGGATTACTTGGATTTGGATGGCAACATCTTACACCATGATACATCATGATACACCTGCAGCCTGTAGCATTCTGTAACATGTAGCATGTTCTCACGGAGGATGTTCTCACGGAGGAATTGATGGGTCTGACAATGAGATGGAAAATTCAGCAGATCGCAGGATGCATCAACTTTCGGGTGTAGAGTCGTGGAGTCACACCGACTCTTGGGGTTTCTTACTCTCCTTCCAACAATCCTGTCACACTCTCCGCCTGAAATTTTAGAGGAGGGAGAGATATCATCTTCAGTTTTCAAGATTCTGAAGATCAACTAAGTACGATTTCAATGCAGCCACATCCAGAGCGGTGTGTGGCAGCCTGTCTTTGGTCATGCATCTTTGCTTCTGTTTGCTCACACTCCCTCTGCATCAAACTTCCATGGCCCACACTTCTTGCTATTAGATACCTTTACATCTTTCTGTTACCCCATAGGGTGTGCTGCCACTGGCTCAGTGCCATGCCAGTGCAACACATGGAGGCTCCAGAGCAAGCTCGTGAAGATACAAAAATTGATGTGACAAGCAAGTCTCCAGTTGGAGGCATATCAGTTGTCACACTGATAAGAACACATACTACACTTGATCATAGCCAAAAGGCCGAGAAGGTATGAGTAGATATGGCTGCTCCAGCCATGTGCACATGTATGCCCTGGCTGCCCACCTTTTGAGTGCATCATCGCCTTCTTAATTCTTGACCTACAAACTTCCCTTTACAGTGAAGAAACAGCGTTCCTAATGCTGTTCCTAATGCTAACAGTTGGCAACAGCTCGCAAGCTAGTTGCCTCTCAAGAAATTCTGCTATGGATGACTCCATCGGAGACTCCTAAGGCGTTACAGGCCTCAGAGTGCAGTGAACTGCTCGACCCTATGAGAGCGAGCTGCTGGATCTCCGCCCAACACTAGCCAGGTAAGTTTGAAAAGATAGCCAAAACATGGAATCATTGACCACAAAATAACACTATGTGTATAGAGGTGCATACAACTACATGACATGACATTACATGACCTTGCATGGCAATACAATACAGCACATGACATGACATCACACGACATGACATTACATGACCTTGCATGGCAAGACACTACAGCACATGACATGACATCACACGACATGACATTGAACAGCTTAAGAGATCACCTGATCAGACGTGCTTGGTCCGCAGCAAGTCTCCAGAAGCTTGCAGAGAGATGTCATGGAATATTTGTTTTCGGGCTTCGGTTATCCCGACAGAGGGAACGAAGATACAAATCCGATATAATCTGATGAAATCTGACTATCACATCTATCACACTTGTGCACTCAGCGGATGTTGTACACCCATGATACGCCAAGGAATCAGCTTATCTTCTCCAAGAGTCCACAGGAGGCTTGTGATGGTGCGCATGCTATCGTCGTCGTGACAGAATGGGACGAATTCAAGACCTATGACTACAAGACCCTCGATTATTGAGGGGACTCCCATGCCACCCAGAGAAAGTTTTGTTGCGATGTTGGCTTCCCGTTTTAATAGCCGGGAATGGATGTTCATATGTTGCACAGCGTTCTGATTTTTGAACTTGGGAAGTGAAGTGAGCATTTTGGCATCTGATTCGGAGAGGAGTCAGCCTGCCAAGCCAAGCTAGTCTGATATTTCTCCAGGGTGATGCTGGAGTTTTACAAATACTGTATGCTTGAGGGAATCTGCTGCGACAACTTTGTTGAGTGATTGTTCTCCTTGGGTTCTTGGGAGTAAGTAGAGTCAGGGGCTAGCAGACCACCCAGAAACACATGTCCTTCTTCGCAGAACCAGAATTGGTCCAGGCTATGAGCGTTGTTTTATCCTCCACGACGCTACGATGAAAGCCCATATAAACTGTGTTGGGATCTTGTTGGCTATTTCCAATCCGTCCGCTTTGTACCATAGATTTGGTTTTAAAGTGTGTTAAATATTACAATGTACTCATACTCCAGATTTGGTCAGCATTCGAGGAGCTTATACGACAAGATGATGAAACCAGCATTCCTCTTTGATGGCCGCAACATGTTGGATCATGCAGCCCTTGTGGACATCGGATTTGAAGTGCACGCGCTCGGCAAGGGACAGATCAAAAGTTCCGGAGGTCAGTCACAGATCGCAGACTTTGTGACCAGAGCTGGAAGTGGTCTCCTGTCTGGTGGCTATTCTCCATAGCCGTGGATGACATATGATGACATGGTGCTTGACCTGTCCAAGTTGTGGAGTTGCTTGTACATCAATCCCCGTCGCAGAGACTTCCCCGTCTCAATCGATTTGATCAGTGTTCCCCGTTGCATCGTTTGCGATGGGCGCAATAGATGGCCATTTGTGGCCACAAGGACATTCCACCCTCATGTCCATCCAAAGATGAACCGATGGGTGAGAAAATCTTTGCTCAGTTTCTTGAGCTTGATGTGTCTTTTATCGCAGGTGGCACCAAATATGAATTTGCGGCATGCCTTCAGGGTGAATCAAACCACAACCACTTACCTTGCGGACATGACCTGCTGCGGGCCACTAGCGTTCTCTTTGCACAGCTGGCATTTTGGCTTGATAAGGCTCGTAGGTTCGTTGAAGCGGCCATCAGCCATGGCGGAGCATGCAAAGCTAGGAGTGCGACTGAACAGGATGGGTTGCGTGGATGGGAGGAAAATCCTGGAAAATCCATACGCATCCGACAACAATCCAAGATATTGGAAGAAGACTTTGTGCGATTTGTGTGCATCCCAGGTGGCTCTGGATTTGTTCATGGACCGGTGATTTTTTTTGTTGGACAACTTGTTTTGTGTTTGAAGAGTCCAAGCAAGAGGACAAGGTGGCAAATAGATCGGCCACAGCGGTGAGGATCCCAGGTTTTGACCGGTAAATTCTAAGAGATTTTCATAACACATGGCAAAACATGATAAACTGGTTCATCAAGAACACACGCTTCTGCAGGTCTTATCAAATCTTTCTCTTAAGGAATAATGTGTCCCACTTTCAGGTCAACTCGAGGAAGCCTCCAAGAGTAGGTATCCGGGTATCCGTGCATGATGCCACGTCAAACAACGTCACATTCTGAATCTGGCAACGCCGAACTCTCCACACATTGGCATCTAGCTCTACGATGCTCTACACATCTCTACGTATATCGAGTAGGTCTTTCTTGATGCTTGAGAATTTGTGATCCCTCGGCTGGAAGATTATTATCCAGTTTCCCCTTACACCCTGAACTGTAAAAGGCATGGGAGGTCAAGGATAAGATAGAAATCTAGATCGCAAATGAAAGAACAAACATCCTTTTAGTCTTTACAAAACCAGTCAGTGCCAGGATTTGCTGCATCGGCGCTGGCTATGTGGGTGGACCCACCATGGCAACCATTGCTTTGAAGTGCCCTCAACTGGAGGCCACTTGGGATGACATGGGATGACCGTCAGGGAGCGAAGAGGAAACAGTTGCCAGAGGATACGAATAATATCGAACCATATTGCCATACCTTTTGGATCCTTTTGGTCTTGGTCTGCTGTCGACAAGAAGCTGTTTGTTGGCTTTCTGTAGTTGGCAGAATTTCAGTTGACTTGTGCTACAAACCTCAGATAACCCTAGCAAATTATCGACACATCCTACTAGTAGCACACGCAGCAAGCTAATATCTCAGTCTATGCCTGCCAGCCTCTTCTTCCTGGAAGGTAGTGATTGTGGACATGAACGAAGATCGCATCAAGCGCTGGAACAGTGACTCGAAGCTTTTCAATCCTCGACTTTTCAACATGTCTTCGCGCTTTCACTCGAAGCATGGGAAGGATGACTCCAAGTGATTTGCATGTTTGATGGATTGGAAGCACCAATCCAGTTTTCATTTTCAACTTTGGAGAGTTGATTGAGTCCAGAAAGGTGCAGTGGGGCTTTATTCTTAACGGACCTGCTTCTTTGTTTGGAAAAAGTCCATCAGAAACATTATCGCGACCTGAATCAAAAAGAATACGAGGACCGTGGCCATGATGTCAAACTCTAATTTACATCAATTTACCATATATCATTTGGTTCTGTGACTGTCACACATCGTTTCACATCGAAAGTCCTTCAAAGCAAACAGTGGCTAAATCCGGGCAATAAGGCGATGAACTGCCGATCTATGAACCCGGTCTGATGGAAGTGGTGAAGGCTCTTCTGGCGGATGGAAAACAGGAAACACCATATTGGGCCATGGGGAAGGGTCATAGGACATGATTTTCCGCGTTTTTTTTGGGATGAACATTTGTAACAACAATATACAACAATTATTTTGATGTGAACTAGAGGGTACCAGGGCTTTGACCCATAGCCATATGATCATATAATGTTATTATATATACACCATATATATATTATACAAGATGATTACAATTTGTTCATGAAGGAAGTGGCACATCTCCGCAGTGCTCATTCAAGTGTCTCTGTGCCTCAAAGTCCAAAATTGATGGTTTGAAAGAACATTTGACCCTACCTACAGTAGGGTAGTTCTTCACCCAGTTTTAAATATCATGGGGTTTTGCCCATATTTTGTCCCGTCTCCAGGCATGCCGTGGCAAGAATCTGTTCTTCTCGACCGATGTGAAGAAAGGAATCGGCGGGGTGGTTCTGCAGGACTTGAAATTGTGAAATAGGGTATATCGACATTACTAGTCAACTGAACTTTCAAGACCTTATATATCCTTACAATGATGTAATGATGCGAGAATGGTCTTGACAGTTGAAGAATGAGCCTGAAGAATGTTCAGATCTCTGAGGCCTCAATGTCGAAAGGGGTGGAAAACTGTCAGGAGGCCATAATATGTATTTATGGCTTTCTGTATGTATGTATCCATTATACACTTGACACATTTCAATTTCAAGTTTGTTTCTCAATCGGCAGGATATTTGAGTGTTTTGGGTGGTTAATCCATGTTAACCCCCAAGTCTTGCTTGTGAAATCCTAATTTTCTTGATATCTTCCAGGTCCACTATTGGGATCCATTATATTCACAGATTCGAGAATCATTTGAGTTCACTCCAGCCCCAGCTATTGTGAAAGAGGGTTGGAAACCAAGAGTGTTTCACACGTGAACACTTTTAAGAAGATGCTTGGCTCAACCCCCTTGTTAGGTGTGGGGAAAGGACGCGCAGCAGATCTGCGATTCATCGAAAGTGTGGGCCGCACCATCGCGCAATACGCCAACCGCAGCAAGATCTTTGGTATAAATATGTATAAATGATGTCGCATGATGACCCTCGGGGTTTTCAAGTTTCTGAATGTTCAGGCCACCACCATGAGGGCCTATGGTGCAGGTATGGTATACCTATAGATTAGGAATGATTAGTATAGTTGCTCATTTTTTCAAGCTGACCAGATGCTTTCAGTAGAGCTGTTTGTGTGGCGATTTTTGCATGATGACTTCTGACCACGTATGGACTAGATAGTATGCCATGCCAGCCGTGCGGTAGCCTGAACTCTGCTACCAAGGATTGTGATTGAGAAATCCACCGTGCCCATCAAGACAGCTGAAGCCATTGCCCGTGTGTTGTCAGCCAATGAAGCTGCCGCAGGCGGCAGTAAGAACCTTGACTGCAGGGAATGGATGGAATGGGTCGCTGGATTTGAATTCCATGAGGAAGCAACGTCTAGATCACAGCTATATCTTGGGATGCACATGGATACACTATGCGGGGAATTCTGGGAGACTCTCCTGGTGGCGGATGGCAAACGGAAGTAGATCGGCTATGTTTGAAAGGAGCTTCCATCTCAAGACTCTTACGTGGTTATTATTCCTACAGGAAACATACAGTATTATCCTTTTCCAACATGTAACATGGCATTATTTCGTTTCTATGGTTTTAGATGTTTTTAGGCAATCCGCCTGGCAATCCGCGCAGGAACTTTTGGATCTTGTCGAACCCTGAGTTCCTAGCAGAGGGCACAGCCATGAAGGACCGTAGCAAGCTGTCAGCCCGCTCCTTAGCAATATCAATAAATAATATATATATAATATTATTTTATATTATATACATATACATACACATATATATATATATACATATTATATTTACATACACACACACATATATATATACATATAATTATGTATTCTATATATATATATCATATGTTATGTATTATATGCTATAAATTCAATTTTTCATCTAATTGCATATGTTTTGGGTTTTGAAATTCACTTGGTGACATGTTTTTGCCGCTGCCTGGGGTCACCAGAGGTTGTCATAAGCAAAACTTTGTCCGCCCAAAGGACTTGGACGCACCAGATCGAGTGCTGATTGGTGGACAAGATCAGGAGCCAGATGGAGCCAGTTGCATTACTTACACGGCAGATTTGTCCATCAGTCGTGGAATTGGGCTCAAGTCATGTCAGTGAGGTAGCCTCAAGTCGGATGACGAAGTATCTTTAGCTCCTGTTGAATCAATCTTGGTGACCTTGCTCGTTTCCAGCCACGAATGGGCATATTAGCACCTGCAAAGCTACATGAACAGGTTTACTTGGACATTCATTGTGGTTTGTACCTGCAACAACTGACCATCTTCAAATTTCGCTTTTATAAGTTCTATTTGGGGAGAAGCCGGACAACAACAAATAGCTTCAAACTTTCTATGAACAGAACATTTTGACTGTAGGACTGTAGGGGTTTTGACATGTGACACGTTGTGAAAAGGTTTGTACACGGAAGTCCAGGTCTGGGGTGCTGACGGCCCACAGCTCAGCGGCCAGGATGCAATTCAGGTGCTGGCCGATGTCTATGCCAACTGGGTCCCAAGGGATCGAATCCTGACCACCAACCTGTGGAGTCTTGGCAGGTGCATTCAACAACTCTCAAGATGACTGGCAAATTTTTGCCCCGCAAGGGTTCCCCGGTTCCCATGCTGTCCGCCCCAAGGAGTTCGGAGCTGTCGAAATTGGTTGCCAACGCTATGTTGGCCCAACGTGTCAGCAGCATCAATTCCATCTCTAGGCGGTCAGCAGTTGGGAAATGAAAACCAATGGTTCATCTGGGATACAGAAAATCCAACCATAATCCAACCAACTTGGCTGTTCAAACATGTTGTGTATAAATCGGTATGACTATGGTCCAAAGCACTGTTGGGCATGTGCAGATAGGCTTGAACAGAGGATGACAAATCTCGCAGGTCCAACATGTATAGGTGTAGACTCCACGATGTTGGATGGTTGAAAGTTGGGCGTCTGCAAACTTTCAAACTACCTTCTCAGGCCCCAGAATCAGTGGAATGAACAGCCCAGATGTGAAAAGCCTTCAACTGTTGGTTGGACTTCAACTGTTCGATTTGATTGCCTTTTAAAGGTTTGTCCCTCATTGCAGGATGAAGACAAATGACTCCCCTCCCTGCGGCTGCCATCTAACAAAAATATGATGCATCTCTGGAATCTTACCGTTCGCACGACTTATCCGACCGTTTCTAGTGTGTGGGCGCATGAACCGTGGAGAGCACAGGAAGGGGACATGTTTTTAGAACATCTGAATCTTGGAGCGCTAGCAGCTAGCAGAGGTTCATGGAATCCGAACCAACTTGTTGCACACAGACCAGCATGATGCAAATGTGAACAACAGAATATGATGAACGTGGAGCATCGTGGATCTATGTGGATTTTTAGGATGACTTCAATCGCCCCAGTCACGAGAGAACTTCCAGCCCCATGCTGATGTATCGCAGGTTGTGTGAGCGAACTGGAGCGGATGTGAAGGAGGTGGCCCGTGCCATTGGCACAGATTCCCGGATTGGGCCAAAGTTGCTGGGCAGAACGGGACCGGCTGACAGCTGATGCAGATCAAGTGAAGACAAGGTCGAATTGGTAGGAAGAGAGATGCACTCTCAACAAACTTTGCCTTAGTGGAAGCAATATGGGGTTTCTTAAAATGGGGGATCCCCAAAATCAAAGGTTTCAAGATTAAATTGGTCCGGGGCAACCCCATTTTAGGAAACCTCCATATAGTGAACATAGACTATGTTAGTGCGGAAGGGTTTTCCATTTGTAACATCATATGCTGTTGGAAGTTTCACCGTTTTCCTTTCAATGGATTGAACAACGTGGGGAAAATCCCAGGCCCAGGGAATAACAAACTGCTCAAGTCGGCAAGGTTCCTCAATGCTTCAGTGGGCTTTGGTGGATCTTGCTTCCAGAAGGCGCATCCCGTCGCGGTGACAGTCTTTGGGAATGTTATGACTGATATTGGCCATGGCTCAAAATGTAAGGCTCCGATCCGTACCCTGGACCCACATGCGGTCCATAGCCGCGATGCATACCCATATACATCTCCAAGGATATGATTCATACCCTTGATCCATATCCAACAATGACAAGTTGTACTTAAAACGGGCTAACTTAGTATACCTTCTCAGCAGGTCCTGCTATACGTAACTCACTCGTTCCATGCGTCCGGATCACCGCGGAACGACCTATACCCATTTTTTTGAGCCATATGGCCATACCCATATGAATGATGTTGCATTGAGGAAAGAACACGTTGATGTACTTTGATCTTTCATGTATACTTTGATATAGAAACATACGTAGAGCTGCCCTGTTTTGGACTTTAGATCAACGACCCCCTGACACCACCCAACAGATTGTCAAGCCCTCTTGTGGTACGCTGTAGATCGCTTGAGCGTTTGCTTGCTGAGCTGCTTTTGAGGCTTTTGAGTTAGAGTGATCCAAGATCTTGCATGATTCCATGGATGGATATGTCCCGAGTTTGGGACGCCCAAGCCTACTAATTTCATCTAATTTCCTCGTTCAAATAATATATCTTCGGTGGCTTTGGGATGCTTGGCTAGTTGGACCACGGCTTGTAGACAGCCGTGTGTTTTAGTGCAATTTTCAGTCTTCGACATTCATGTTACGCTGCGTATGTACTTGCTGCTACGTCACGGATGGGGTGGGGTTGGGGTGGGGCGGGGCAATAACGTTCATGTTAAGTTGCGTAGCGCCTGTACTAAAACGTTCATGTGACGCTGTGTATGTACTTGCTGCTACGCCGTGTATTTTTGTACAAGGGTGTCAATCGCATGGTCCAACAGTGGATGTGGCGTCCAAGTGTTTTGCCTTGCTCTCTCAAAGAGATGATGACACGCCTTGTGCGACTCTTGAAAAAACAGCAAGGATGAAAGGCTTCCTCCAAAAAAAGGAAATAGTCTACGCAGTTCGAAAGCAATGAACAATTGCTTTCCCCAATAGCAGTAGGGTTTGAAGCCGCTTTATCCAATGGCAGGGATGTTTTATTTGGCAAAAGGGCCAAACATCCTACGCAGTGGAACTGCGAAGAAAAAGACCGCAGCTCACACCATCATGATCACATCTTGTCACGGCCGGCCGGGCCTAGTTTGGGTCATACTTTGCCCATCTGTGGAATTCCAATATTTCAAGCGCATCACCGTCACCATATTGCTAAGATGTGCCAGGAATACTTGTGATGATGACATCATAGCATGGGTTCATAGACCAACAAGTCATGGTGATGACAGTCGACACCAAAAAAACACATATGGAACATATGGAATAGGAATAGGATCATTTGGAATGGTTCCATTTTTAACCCTCCGGCAATCAAATATGGCAATGTTTTTTCCCCTATTTATAGGTGTTTTTCCCATTTAACTCTCCATTCCCCGCGGATTTCCCAGCCACGTTTCATTAGAGGTAAAACATCCTATACAATTCTCATGAAATCCCATTAATTCCCATGAATATACCATAAATTGACTTTTCTTGTCAGACCAACACACTATCGCAGGACATCCTGAATTTGGTCTACATCTGCCAGCAGCTTCCTGGCTCCGAACTTTTCCTGGTCGCTGTTGCTGGTGGTCTTGGGAATATGATAATCAATTACGGTACATGTGTAAGTATTGTAAGTTATGTATACATGATCATAAAATTGATTAATACATATATATATGTACATATAGTAATATTTATATATGATATGATTATAAATTATGTATAATAATTGTAATGATCACTGTCTGATTCTCTTGAAACCAATCACTTTCAATGATGATGTCAGCCCGGGTTGTGTCTTCCGCAGGTTTGGCCTAGAGGAGTGCGCTGCATATTGGCAGCAGGTGGTGGACATGAACGACTATCAGAAGATAGCCTTCACTAGTAGCAGGGCAGCGACGACTAGCAACGGGAAAAACATATTTTTGGTGCCCAAAGTATAGTTATGGGGAACCAATAATTAAAGAGAGTGGAACGCCACCAGGTCCCCAAAAATACGTGGTTTTAAGCGTTTTTTTTTGACTATTTTATGTTTCTTTTTCCTCTTTTGATCATATATGAAAGATCAAAGTTCTTGGGAGATGCACGGGTTTTGGTTTGTTAATCCTTAGCTCTATTCTTGGTTGCTTACTTTTTGTAGCTCTATTGTTTTTTTTGATAGGTGGTCTTAGTGCATGAATGACAAAGTTCTTTGCCCAACAACATCTTGAAACATAGAGATTCATTGTGTCAGTTGGTACTTCATGTATATATTAATGTACAGGTACTACCTAGGTATACAGCTATTGCAAAGACAGTAAATATATATATATACATATACATAGCACTTTGTATTTGCATTGGTGGTTTTTTATATTGGGTTGCCAGGTCGCCTTTTGGTTGACATCATAGTTCCAGTGGAACTCTTTTAGTAAATGAAAGTGAAAATTCCAATCTGCTCTCCCTCCCCAAGTAGTTGCATCTTTTTGGCATACTTCATGGTAACTTGCTGCATCAATGCACAAGCAAGGCAGCCATTCTATAGATACAGTTGTTTGGTAAGGTTGCTTAAGTGTTTCCTTTACTTGGTCTTGTGCCCTTCTGGTTACCATGATGAAGTTATACTGACATAGTTTAAGTTTTGCCCACATCCATGGATACATTTATGGTAATAACATGTCTGCCATTATATTTGCAGTGACACAGCAAATTACCATGGAATATGCAGGTAAAAACGTCTTTTCTAAAGAAAGGGGGAAAGGGAAGTGCCCATGGAATTTGCCAACTCTTGTGATCAATCGATATTTTAAGCAAAGATCTTTTACTGCATTGAAACCTGGAAGAATACCATTGCATATGCAGGAAAAATGTAGGAAACTTGTGTCTTTAAGGGCATAGGTGACTTACATGCCACCCATTCCATAACTGTATGTACTATATAAGAAAAATGTATATATAAAATAGTTGCATTCTAAGTGCAAATGCAGCTTGGATGTGTTGACGCAGAAAATGGCTATGGTATCTGCAAAAAAATATTGCTTTTATCACAAAATACCCTCTAGATATCAGTGTATGTTCGAAGCTGCCATTTCTACTGTATATATACTGATACTGCACACTTATGACAATGCGCTTGCATACTGGTTGAAACCATCCACCCACTAAAGCACAAACAACCCCTGAAACTTTTCATACAGTTTATAGATCAAAGAATTAAGAACAAGAGTGAATATTGGTCAAAAGGATGGAGAAGGGACCCCTTTCCATATGAATGCATTCTGGGAGCTGCTACTTCCTAGTCCAATGTGTTGTGTCATAGCTGTTTTCTGTCAAGTTTTAAAAACAGTCTTACCTCTTTTTTGGTGTTACTCATCCTGTAATAAAAGATTATAAAAGCACAGCCAAGCAATTATGGTAACAGGGTACCTGGATTAGATATGCAGTGGCATAGCGAATTACTGTGAAATATGCAGGAAAAACACATTTTTGCAGAAAGGGTAAGTTGGAGCTGCCCTTACCATGTGCCAACTCTTACGAGCAAAGTCAGTTGCAACCAAAGAGTCTTTATTGCAGTCAATCCTGGAAGAATTCCTTTACATATGCAAAGTACATGTGGAAGATGTGTGTACGTATTGCTATGCGCTACTTATGTAGCATCCATATCATGGATGCATACAGTAGTACTACTACAAGGAAAATGCAAGTCCATCAATGTATATAGGAGGGCTATATATAGAAGGGCTAGGAGATGGGGGAAGCTCATAAAAAAAGCTCCCTTTCCTTGGCCACCTCTCCCCAAGGTATACACACACTATGTTTGTTTTCCCTCCTTCCTTTTCCCAGGGGATCTTCATGACTCTCTGGACATTCTTTGGTAACCTTTGGCAACCTGCCATCAGGGAGAGGCTATGTACATAGGAGGGCTATGAGAGGGGATAAGCCAATTTTTTTCCCGTTTTTCCTTGGCCACCTCTCCCCCTAAGGGAAGCCATATCTATATATATATAATATACACACACACTATGTTTGTTTTTTCTCCTTCCTTTTCCCTGGGAATCTTCATGACTCTCTGGACATTCTTTGGCAACCTCTGAGGAAGTCTGACAATCTGTGTGGATCTCTAGCAATACCATCACAGGTATATGAACATAAAGGATTGAACATGATGTAGCAAAAACACAGCATTTCCAGAAACGTGGAAAAATGGGGACCTGACAGCGTACCTTTCTGGAATTAAACCCCATGATTGGCAATTCTTAAAAAACATGATAATTCTAGTAACCCTTCCATTTGTTTGGGTATTGAGATATCTTGAACCATTTCCTTGAACCATTTCCATGTAGGGACGGGGAATCATGTAGAGGAGTGCAGCTCTTGTCAATGCTTAGAACGAGTTAATATAATGCAGTCACTTTTTTTTTGACCTTCCTTTTTGGACCAGTGGAGTTTTTCTCCTCTTTTCAGAATCGACAAATTCCATAATTCTGGATTAAATTAATGAATTGGAACCACATAACAATTCCCTACCATGTCGATACCATTCAATATGTAGGTTGCAATCATACTATAAATGCAGATTCACACTCGATTCGAGTTCCTATTTGAAGAAACCTCATGTCTGGTTTCCAACCTCTGCCTACATCCAATCCACCTTAGTTATTCATTCCAGGCAAGATCATCCAGTCTCTCTTCAACACAGTGACCAAGAAGAAAATCGCCGTTCTTGGCTTCGCCTTTAAAAAGGACACAGGTGACGTGCGCGAGACTCCGGCCTTGATGGTCTGTGATATGCTGATGAAGGATGGCGCCATTGTGCATGTCTATGACCCCAAGGTGGTCATAGAAGATGCCTTGACAGAGTTCAAGTATCATGACCTGGAAGTCAATAAGAAACTTGGATTACTTGGATTTGGATGGCAACATCTTACACCATGATACACCATGCTACATCATGATACACCTGTAGCATCCTGTAACATGTAGCATGTTCTCATGAAGGAATTGATGGGTCTGACAATGAGCTGGAAAATTCAGCAGATCGCAGGATGCATCAACTTTCGGGTGTAGAGTCGTGGAGTCACACTGGCTCTCGGGGGTTCTTACTCTCCTTCCAACAATCCTGTCACACTCTCCGCCTGAAATGAGAGGAGGGAGAGATATCATCTTCATAAATCTTCTGGTATTTTTCAAGATTCTGAAGATCAACTAAGTACATCTAAGTACGATATCAATGCAGCCACATCCAGAGCGGTGTGTGGAAGGATGCAACGGATGAATCTAGAACAGCTTAAGAGATCACCTGATCAGACGTGCTTGGTCCGCAGCAAGTCTCCAGAAGCTTGCAGAGAGATGTCATGGAATATTTGTTTTCGGGCTTCGGTTATCCCGACAGAGGGAACGAAGATACAAATCCGATATAATCTGATGAAATCTGACACTTGTGCACTCAGCGGATGTTGTACACCCATGATACGCCAAGGAATCAACTTATCTTCTCCAAGAGTCCACAGGAGGCTTGTGATGGTGCGCATGCTATCGTCGTCGTGACAGAATGGGACGAATTCAAGACCTATGACTACAAGACCCTCGATTATTGAGGGGACTCCCATGCCACCCAGAGAAAGTTCTGTTGCGATGTTGGCTTCCCGTTTTAATAGCCGGGAATGGATGTTCATATGTTGCACAGCGTTCTGATTTGAACTTGGGAAGTGAAGTGAGCATTTTGGCATCTGATTCGGAGAGGAGTCAGCCTGCCAAGCCAAGCTAGTCTGATATTTCTCCAGGGTGATGCTGGAGTTTTACAAATACTGTATGCTTGAGGGAATCTGCTGCGACAACTTTGTTGAGTGATTGTTCTCCTTGGGTTCTTGGGAGTAAGTAGAGTCAGGGGCTAGCAGACCACCCAGAAACACATGTCCTTCTTCATCCTTCTTCGCAGAACCAGAATTGGTCCAGGCTATGAGCGTTGTTTTATCCTCCACGACGCTACGATGAAAGCCCATATAAACTGTGTTGGGATCTTGTTGGCTATTTCCAATCCGTCCGCTTTGTACCATAGATTTGGTTTTAAAGTGTGTTAAATATTACAATGTACTCATACTCCAGATTTGGTCAGCATTCGAGGAGCTTATACGACAAGATGATGAAACCAGCATTCCTCTTTGATGGCCGCAACATGTTGGATCATGCAGCCCTGGTGGACATCGGATTTGAAGTGCACGCGCTCGGCAAGGGACAGATCAAGAGTTCCGGAGGTCAGTCACAGATCCCAGACTTTGTGACCAGAGCTGGAAGTGGTCTCCTGTCTGGTGGCTATTCTCCATAGCCATGGATGACATACGATGACATGGTGCTTGACCTGTCCAAGTTGTGGAGTTGCTTGTACATCAATCCCCGTCGCAGAGACTTCCCCGTCTCAATCGATTTGATCAGTGTTCCCCGTTGCATCGTTTGCGATGGGTGCAATAGATGGCCATTTGTGGCCACAAGGACATTCCACCCTCATGTCCATCCAAAGATGAACCGATGGGTGAGAAAATCTTTGCTCAGTATCTTGAGCTTGATGTGGCTTTAATCGCAGGTGGCACCAAATATGAATTTGCGGCATGCCTTCAGGGTGAATCAACCACAACCACTCACCTTGCGGACATGACCTGCGGCGGGCCACTAGCGTTCTCTTTGCACAGCTGGCATTTTGGCTTGATAGGGCTCGTAGACTCGTAGATTCGTTGAAGCGGCCATCAGCCATGGCGGAGCATGCAAAGCTAGGAGTGCGACTGAACAGGATGGGTTGCGTGGATGGGAGGAAAATCCTGGAAAATCCATACACATCCGACAACAATCCAAGATATTGGAAGAAGACTTTGTGCGATTTGTGTGCATCCCAGGTGGCTCTGGATTTGTTTCATGGACCGGTGATTTTTTTGTTGGACAACTTGTTTTGTGTTTGAAGAGTCCAAGCAAGAGGACAAGGTGGCAAATAGATCGGCCACAGCGGTGAGGATCCCAGGTTTTGACCGGTAAACTCTAAGAGATATTCATAACACGTCGCAAAACATGATTAACTGACAGTGGTTCATCAAGAACACACGCTTCTGCAGGTCTTATCAAATCTTTCTCTTAAGGAAGCCCGAGCGCTGGTTAAGAATCCGAAAGCTTGAGGCCCAGGGCCCCTCAAATTCTTATTTTTAAATGCAAGCAAATTTACACCACAACAGGCTGAGGGTCCCTCAAATTCTTAGGGCATTCTTAGTTTTGTATTGCAGGATATCTGCATAATTTGGAGCAAGCAAAAGTGAGGTAACAAGGTGGAGTTGGCAGATTTGACAAGAGGCATGCGAAAAAATGATTTTCTAGAGCCTGAAAAGTTGTTTTTTTTGCAAAGCTGGGCTGGTCTGAGTTTCATAAGGTTAGTGTGCCAAAAAAAAAATAGAGCCTGAAAAGTTTTTTTTTTGCAAAAATGGGCTGGTCTGAGTTTCAAAGGGTTAGTGTGCAAAAAAACAATTTTTTAGAGCCTGAAAAGTTTTTTTTTTGCAAAGCTGGGCTGGTCTGAGTTTCATAAGGTTAGTGTGCAAAAAAGATGGAGCCTGAAAAGTTTTCTTTTTGCAAAGCTGGGCTGGTCTGAGTTTCATAAGGTTAGTGTGCCAAAAAAAAAATAGAGCCTGAAAAGTTTTTTTTTTGCAAAGCTGGGCTGGTCTGAGTTTCATAAGGTTAGTGTGCCAAAAAAAACAATTTTTTAGAGCCTGAAAAGTTTTCTTTTTGCAAAGCTGGGCTGGTCTGAGTTTCATAAGGTTAGTGTGCAAAAAAAATAGAGCCTGAAAAGTTGTTTTTTTTGCAAAGCTGGGCTGGTCTGAGTTTCATAAGGTTAGTGTGCAAAAAAACAATTTTTTAGAGCCTGAAAAGTTTTTTTTTTGCAAAGCTGGGCTGGTCTGAGTTTCATAAGGCTAGTGTGCATTTTTTTCGGAGCGCTGTTTCTGTAAACTTTGTTGCTTACTCTAGCGAGTCTCGTTGTTGATTGCGTTGTTTATGGAGAAGGAAGCCAAGATCCCATAGCTCAGTTGGTAGAGCGTTGGGCTAAGGACGAGGGGTCGCGGGCTCGATTCTCGGCATTGTCCTTTGGACCGGGTTTTCTGGTAAACAATGTTTCAGGTCCGAATTGGAAGCACTCCAAGCATGCGCGAGAAAAAAACAGTTTTTCGGAGCTTGAAAAATTGATTTTCTGCAAAGCCTCAGTTTTCTTCAAGCTATTAAAGAAAACAATATTTCAGGTCCCCAAGTCTACCCACATATTGATGTTGTGTGGATTGGAAGCAGTCCAAGCATGCGCGAAAAAACCGGGCCTGAAAAGTTGTTTCATCCCATAAGACCATATAAGGGATCACGCCGCAAAAAAAGAAACGCAAAGGGAATTGCAAACCTTACGTATAAGGAGTAACTTAAGAATTTGGCAATCCTATTCCAGGGTCCCTCAAATTCTTAAAGCCCTATGTGTGTAGTACAATTGAAAATATGTAGCCCGCCTTGGATTCGAGCCCCTCAAATTCTTATACAGTGAATTCTTGTACAATACTCAAGCTGTAATGTGTTCCACTTTCAGGTCAACTCGAGGTAAGCATTCCAAGAGTAGGTATCCGGGTATCCATGCATGATGCCACGTCAAATAACGTCACATTCTGAATATGGCAACGCCGAACTCTCCACACGTTGCTATTTAGATCTACGATGCTCTACGCATCCCTACGTATATCGAGTAGGTCTTTCTTGATGCTTGAGAATTTGTGATCCCTCGGCTGGAAGATTATTATCCAGTTTCCCCTTACACCCTGAACTGTAAAAGGCATGGGAGGTCAAGGATAAGATAGAAATCTAGATCGCAAATGAAGGAACAAACATCCTTTTAGCCTTTACAAAACCAGTCAGTGCCAGGATTTGCTGCATCGGCGCTGGCTATGTGGGTGGACCCACCATGGCAACCATTGCTTTGAAGTGCCCTCAACTGGAGGCCACTTGGGATGACATGGGATGACCGTCAGGGAGCGAAGAGGAAACAGTTGCCAGAGGATACGAATAATATCGAACCATATTGCCATACCTTTTGGATCCTTTTGGTCTTGGTCTGCTGTCGACAAGAAGCTGTTTGTTGGCTTTCTGTAGTTGGCAGAATTTCAGTTGACTTGTGCTACAAACCTCAGATAACCCTAGCAAATTATCGACACATCCTACTAGTAGCACACGCAGCACGCTAATATCTCAGTCTATGCATGCCAGCCTCTTCTTCCTGGAAGGTAGTGATTGTGGACATGAACGAAGATCGCATCAAGCGCTGGAACAGTGACTCGAAGCTTTTCAATCCTTGACTTTTCAACATTTATTCGCGCTTTCACTCGAAGCATGGGAAGGATGACTCCAAGTGATTTGCATGTTTGATGGATTGGAAGCACCAATCCAGTTTTCATTTTCAACTTTGGAGAGTTGATTGAGTCCAGAAAGGTGCAGTGGGGCTTTATTCTTAACGGACCTGCTTCTTTGTTTGGAAAAAGTCCATCAGAAACATTATCGCGACCTGAATCAAAAAGAATACGAGGACCGTGGCCATGATGTCAAACTCTAATTTACATCAATTTGCCATATATCATTTGGTTCTGTGACTGTCACACATCGTTTCACATCGAAAGTCCTTCAAAGCAAACAGTGGCTAAATCCGGGCAATAAGGCGATGAACTGCCGATCTATGAACCCGGTCTGATGGAAGTGGTGAAGGCTCTTCTGGCGGATGGAAAACAGGAAACACCATATTGGGCCATGGGGAAGGGTCATAGGACATGATTTTCCACGTTTTTTTTTGGGATGAACATTTGTAACAACAATTATTTTGATGTGAACTACAGAGTACCAGGGCTTTGACCCATAGCCATATGATCATATAATTATATTATATATATATATAGACACACACATATATATATATATTATATACAATATGATTAATTATGTATACAATGTGTTCATGAAGGAAGTGGCACATCTCTGCAGTGCTCATTCAAGTGTCCCTGTGCCTCAAAGTCCAAAATTGATGGTTTGCAAGAACATTTGACCCTACCTAGTTCTTCACCCAGTTTTAAATATCATGGGATTTTGTCCATATTTTGTCCCGTCTCCAGGCATGCTGTGGCAAGAATCTGTTCTTCTCGACCGATGTGAAGAAAGGAATCGAGGAGGCGGACATCATCTTCGCTTCTGTGAACACTCCCACCAAGACACAAGGTGCAGAGGGTGCCGATGGTGCCGATGGTGCCGATGGTGCCAAGCGGGGCGGTTCCACAGGACTTGAAATTGTGAAATAAGGTATATCGACATTACTAGTCAACTGGAACTTTCAAGACCTTATATATCCTTACAATGATGTAATGATGCGAGAATGGTCTTGATAGTTGAAGAATGAGCCTGAAGAATGTTCAGATCTCTGAGGCCTCAATGTCGAAAGGGGTGGAAAACTGTCAGGAGTCAGGAGGCCATAATATGTATTTATGGCTTTCTGTATGTATGTATCCATTATACACTTGACACATTTCAATTTCAAGTTTGTTTCTCAATCGGCAGGATATTAGAGTGTTTTGGGTGGTTAATCCATGTTAACCCCCAGTCTTGTTTGTGACATCCTAATTTTCTTGATATCTTCCAGGTCCACTATTGGGATCCATTATATTCACAGATTCGAGAATCATTTGAGTTCACTCCAGCCCCAGCTATTGTGAAAGAGGGTTGGAAACCAAGAGTGTTTCACACGTGAACACTTTTAAGAAGATGCTTGGCTCAACCCCCTTGTTAGGTGTGGGGAAAGGACGCGCAGCAGATCTGCGATTCATCGAAAGTGTGGGCCGCACCATCGCGCAATACGCCAGCCGCAGCAAGATCTTTGGTATAAATATGTATAAATGACGTCGCATGATGACCCTCGGGGTTTTCAAGTTTCTGAGTTAAGAGTATAGGCGGTATAGGCATGGATCGGATTGGCGAACTTGCTGGACATCTGCCATAGTTGCGTAGCATGATGCTTCACAAGGCTTTTGAATCTACTGGCTTGCGGCCCATGGGAAGCATGCTGAGTTCAGGCCACCACCATGAGGGCCTATGGTGCAGGTATCGTATACATATAGATTAGGAATGATTAGTATAGTTGATCATTTTTTCAAGCTGACCGGTTGCAGATGCTTTCAGTAGAGCTGTCTGTGTGGCGATTTTGCATGATGACTTCTGACCACATATGGACTAGATAGATACTAGATAGTATGCCATGCCAGCCGTGCGGTAGCCTGAACTCTCCCA